CGTCACGGGCGGTAAGAAGGAACTGAGGGGATGCTGGGTTGGCTGGGGTATATATCCAGCGCCTTGAAGGCGCCACTCCAGGGGGCTCCACACCCGACCCACCGGGTGTTGCTAGGGTAGAAAATTCTCCGACGATCGTGCACGCAGCGCGCGCACACCTAATTGGAATCGATATGAGCAAGCACTCGAAGAAGAACAAGCCAAATATGGTGTTTCTAGCAGGAGCAATTTTGGAGTTCACCGAGGCCTCTGTTCTGAGCGTGGCGCCACCCCTCACCTTTGGTGCCAAAATCCTGCAGAAGGATCTGGGCCTTTTTCTTGAAATCGTCCGCAGAATGGATCAGGCCCGTCTTGAATTTCTCCTTGTGTTTCTTTAGCATGACATCGCTCTCCAGGATGCACTGCTGGAAGGACAGCCACTCCGAGTTGAGCGCTCCTAGCGTCTGCAGCACCTGGCACAAGGAGAGGGAGAAAGATGTGTTCTCCCTCCAAGGTTACCGCAGCTTCAAGGAGAAGGCTGAGCACGGTGGGGTCCAGAAATGTGGCTAGGAACCTCCTCCACCCCCATGGCACGGGGATCTCATCCATTTCCTCGGGGCTGGGCAGGACTCAGGTAATTTCTACAAGTCATCGAAATCTCTGCCAGTTACAGTAAAAGCTTTTTTATCCGGCGTATTGGGGAGTGCCCGTAAGTGAAAAATTCCGGTTAATTACGTGAGAGGGAGTTTGGGTGCGGGAGGGGGTGTGGGGCGCAGGCTCTAGGAGGGAATTTGGGTGCAGGAGGGGGCTCAGGGTAGGGGCACAGGAGGGGGTGCAGGTCACAGGCTCTGGGAAGGAGTTTGGGTGCAGGAGGGGGCTTGGGGTAGGGGCACAGGAGGGGGTGCAGGGCACAGGCTCTGGGAAGGAGTTTGGGTGCGGGAGGGTGCTTGGGACAGGGGTTTGGGTGCGAGAGGAGTTTCGGAGCGCCAAATCCAGGGGGCGCTCACCTCAGGCAGCTCCCCGCAACCAATGACCTGTCCCGGCTGCTCCTAGGCGGCAGCACGGCAGGCGGCTCTGCGCGCTGTCTCCACCTGCAGGCACCGCCCCCACAGCTCCTATTGGCTGTGGTTCCCGGCCAATGGGAGCTGTGGAGCCAGCGCTCAGGGCAGGACAGAGGCAGTGCAGATCCCTTTAGGGTCTGGGCCAGCATGGCAGGGGTCCATACTTACCCCCTCATCCACGGCCACTTCGTACTTCTCCAGGATGGCAAACTGCTCGTGGATGGGCGGGATCTGCCCCTCTAGCTTCGGCAGCTCGTGCTGCAGGGTGTCCAGGAGCTGCAGGCTTTGGCCCAGTTCCTCCAGCGTCTGTGGTGGCCGGCTGACTCTGTGGGCCAGAGCGGGGAAGAGATGGAGTGAGCCGGGACTGGGTCAAATGACAGGGGCTCTCTCGTGCCCGCACATTCGTTCGGACTTGCCACAGCTGCTCTGCTCGGGGAAAGGCGTTGATACTGTGAGCCAACACTGGTCCTCTCCATGGGGGCCAGCAAGGGGTCTGGTCCGAGCCAAGGCGGGGGCCCTATTTAATAGCAAGGGGCCAGCTGACCACTCCACCCGTAAGCTGCCGAACCTCAGAACCACAGAAGGGGTGAGAGATCAGGCCCGGAGAGGGGATGTCTTGGGGCTTTTGCTATTTTCCGTTACTCTCAAGTGCTTTAAGAGTAAAATCACTGTGGTTAGGAAGTTCCTCTGCTGAGCCTGGGTTCCTCGCTTTCCTGCCATGTTTCTCTCTGATGGGGTTAAACTAGGAGCCCGGAGTGCCCCCTAGATGGGGCTTTGCAGGACTGGAGGGCTTGGCTGGACAAGGGCATGCCATGTCCCAGGGAAAAGCGTCAGCCAGGGCCCCAGAATCCCAGAGCTAGACACAGTGATTAGACTCTACCCAGACCCCGCTGGCATGGAAGCACGTGGGACCCAGAGATGGTGACGGTACAGTGGGTAACTGGGCCAGTTTATAACAGGAGAACTCGCAGGAGAAGGGAAGGCCAGAGAGGAGCCTGCCCAGGGAGAAAGGCATGGGCTATCTCTGCCCCAGGGTGTGGGGTGCAGGTAATGGGGCAGGAAGGAAGAGGCCTGTCCAGGGAAGGCCTCACTTCTTGGCATTCTCCTGGAGGTAGGCGTACAGCTCCTGCAGCTGGGTACTGGCCATCTCGTTCAGCAGGTTGGTGAGCTTGTTCTGCCACTCGTTGCAGTGCTGGACCACGGAGAACTTGAGGTGGGAGCAGTCGAGCATCACGAACTGGATGTTCAGCACCGTCTCCTCCTTCTGCACGTTGTTGGCCACCTCCATGTACCTGCCATGCACAGACACAGACCCACCCTTCAGCCAGCTGCTCAGTGCAGAGCAGGAGGGCCGAGCTCTCCAGCGCACACATCCACGGGGCAACGGAGGAGAATCCCAGGGGGACTCTCTGCATGGAGGTGACTCGTTGGGATTAGTTCCTTCACTGGAGACACTGGAATTCACACAGAATGGATCAGAGGAGAGATCGTCAGATCCTTCTCTCCCGAGCTACAGGTGCCTTGTGGAAAACCAGCATGGCACTAGGGGGCGCTGTGCTGGAGGCAGCTCTCTCTCTCCTCGCAGTCTGTGCTGACGCCAGTGCCCCAGCATGGCACTAGGGGGCGCTGTGCTGCAGGGAGCAGGTTGAATGGGTCCCTAGGGGGTGCTGTTCCCTCAGAGGCAGTGCTCATGCCAGTGCCCCAGCATGGCGCTGGGGGGCACTGTGCTGAAGGGAGCTCTCTCTCCACACAGTCAGTGCTGACGCCAGTGCCCCAGCATGGCACTAGGGGGCGCTGTGCTGCAGGCAGCAGTGTAGTTAACCCAGTAGCCGAGTTCTCCGTTTTCAGTCAGTACACGTCCCCCCCCAAACTCCTGCCCATGAAACAGAGGCCAGCACTCTCGTGCTCATTAAAGACCACCTGGGCTTATTGAGAAATCAATAGCATTGGTAGCTCCTGAGTGGGGGGGGGGGGCAGGGCACTGGTTTGGGGGGGGTTTATGGCTGCCATGTGGGGGGTTCACCAGCACAGCTCCACGCCTAGCTGCAAGGTGTCCAAGTCTCCTGATATGCCAAGGGGCCTCTTGTCCTCCCGCCTCCTGAATTAATGTTGTCTCCCGCATGCAGCGGCATCCATCAACGCCAAATTCCAAAATTCAACAACATTGTCCAGGGCCGCCTGCGTCAGTCACACATGTGCACCAGCCAGGGCCGGCTCTAGGCACCAGCAAAGCAAGCAGTTGCTTGGGGCGGCAGATTTGCAAAGGGCGCAAGAATCCAGCATGGGAGCTAAGAACCAACAGGGGCCCCTGGGAGCTGTAGTTCCTTGGTTAGCTCCCTGCCTATAAAGCCAGCCCTGGAGCAAGGAAAGAACTACATTTCCCAGCATTCCCTTGGCCACTAGCAACAGGAAGGGGTGTGGGAAAGGCGTATGGAACTGAAATCTGCAGCTTGCTGTGAATGGTAGGAATAGAGCCAGCTCTAGGTTTTTTGCTGC